AAATTTTTTAATTTCGATTTATTTCGACTTATTTTTAATTTTAAGATTAGTAAATTCTTAGATTCTTAGAATTCTTTGATTTATTAGAATACTGGACGTTAAGAGAACTTGAAATTCTCAGATTTTTGAAGTACGTGAATTCTTCGATCTCTTCTTATTTTTCAAAATTTTTTGAATTCATTGTTTTGTAACCCAAAAAAATTTTGGATTTTCGGGCTTGTAAAAATTTTGCGCAATGACCAAAACTTCATTTTATTAACCTATTTGCCAAAATTCGGCGATTTTGGAATTTTTATCACTTTTCGATGAAAATTTTTAATTTCGATTTATTTCGACTTATTTAGAAAATTTTTATTTGTTTTTTAAACAGCAAAATTTCCACAACAACAAAACTTATTTATTTTTCCTTAATTCTTGACTGTCTAAATATAAAAAAATTGTTTGAATCGATTGTGGAATTTTTTTGTTCGAATTTGTGTAACTTTGTAATTTCTTAATTGTAATTTGTAATTTTTTGAATTACGTGAGAAATAATTCAGATATTATACCTTAAATTTTTAAATTTTTGCAATAATAATATGATTCTTTGGATTTTTGTGAAACTAGAATTCTCAAAATTTTCAAATTTAGAAACAGTGAATTCTTAGATCCTTAGAATTTTTTCATTTCCTAGATTGAGAACTTGGAATTCTCAGATTTTTAGCATTCTTTGATTTTAAAGTAGCTGAAATCTTAAATTCTCGCAGTTTATGAAAATTTTTTGAATTCAGTGTTTTGAAACTAAAAATTTTGGTAAAAATCTGCAAATTTTCAGAACTCTCCTCCATTTGCACAATGACCGAAACTTCATTTATTAACTTATTTGCCAAAACTCGGCAATTTTGGGGTTTTTCACCTTGTCATGAAATTTTTAAATTTTGTTTTATTTTGACTTATTTAAAAAAATTCCATTTTTTCCTAAAACGCCATGATTTCTACAACAAGAAAACTTATTTATTTCATTAGGGCAATCTTTCTTTATCCTTGATTGTCTAAATACAAAAAAAAATTGTTGGAATATTGTTGGAATCGGTTGCGGAAATTTTTTTTTGAAAGTTTGTGTGGGATATTTTTCTAACGTAACACTTTTTCACTAATTACGTGACAAATAATTAAGATAATAAACCTTTAATTTTTAAATTTTTAAAATGGATTTTTATGTAAGTGGTTAGAATTCTTAAAATTTTCAATTTTTTGAATTTCCTTGAATTCAAAAACTTTTAAGCATTCCAAAAATCTGTCATATTTATGAATTTTGTCTATTTTTTTTATGAAAGTTCTTGAATACGATTTTTCGACTGTTTTGTACTCAAAAGTGTGACATTTTCAGTGTTCTCCAGTGAATTTTCTAATTCTTTAATTTTTTGATTATTAAAATTTCTGGATTTTATAATTACTGTC